CACTCGCTCTGTTCAGTGGACATTTACAGGGATATGTGTGTGGATAGCTGATCTTGAGTGAAGGCAGTACATGCAGTTAGGGGAAGAGATGGCCTTGGGAGCCAGACAGGCCTGGGTTACTTTTCTTTTCTTTCTTTTTTTTTTTTTTTTTAAATATATCTTTATTGATTTCAGAGAGAGGAAAGGAGAGGGGGAGAGAGAGAGAGAAACATCAATGATGAGAGAGTCATTGATCAAGCCCGCAACCCGGGCATGTGCCCTGACCGGGAATCGAACCCCGATCGCCTGGATCCTAGTTCGACGCTCAACCACTGAGCTGCGCCTGGCGGGCACTTTTCTTTTCTTTTAATACGTCTTTATTGATTTCAGAGAGAGGAAGAGAGAGGGAGAGAGAGAGAGAAACATCAATGATGAGAGAGAGTCATCAATGGGCTGCCTCCTGCACTCCCCCTATCGGGGATTGAGCCCAAAACCTGGGCATGTGCCCTGACCGGCAATCGAACCGGGATCTCCTGGATCATAGGTCAATGCTCAACTACTGAGCCATGCCACCCAGGCAGGCCTGGGTTACTTTTCTTGTGACCCTGGGTAAGGGACTTCCCACCTCTGTGCCACAGTTTCCCCACCTATCAAATGGGAGTGCTAATACTTGTCTCCAAGGTCATTTTGCCCGCAGAGGGGTGAGGAGGGTCCCAGCTCACACAAGTGATCAGGGTACAGCACCTGGAACTTTTGCCCAGACTTCTGATCAGTGTGTTACACTTCTCTGATGAGATCCTGGGAAGAGACTTGGAAGGTTTTGAATTGGGAGGTGACTCTCCCCATGCAACCTGGATGGGCTCAGATTCCTGGCTCTTGGAGTGCAGAAGGGGGTGGCAGAGGGTTGGTGCCTCATGAGAGAGCCGTTCTGGCATTATGGGCTCATTTCATGGGTAGGTGTACGGAGACTCAGAGAAGAACTTGCCTGAGGTCACTCAGCAGCCAGTGGCAGGATTGAGACCAGAGACCAGGACTCTAGGCTCAGGGCTCCCTTCCTCCCAGAGGCTGACCCCCCACCCACCCAGTACTTGGGGTGGAGGGAACCATGTCGCCTGAAGTTCTCTAATTTCAATTCTTCTTTCTGTCCCATTGGGGGAAGGGAATAATAAGAGTTTATTGCGCACTTATTGTGTGCCAGGTCCATGTCTCATTTAGTCCTTGTAACAATGCTGCAGGGCTTCGTGGCCCATTTAACAGAGAGGGAAGTGGAGGCTCTGAGAGGTCGGTAACTGGCCAAATGTCGCCACGCTCAGTGCTGGGCTGGGAGCACACACAGCTCAGGTTCTTCCTGCTGACCCCCAGTCATTGCTCTCTGCCTGGTTTGGCGAGGAAAGGAAAGGAGGCCCAGTGTCGAGCATATGCAGTGCACTGTGCATTTTCATAGCACATGGGGCTTTTTTGGGGGGTGAGGAACATGGGGGAGTAGCAGGCATGAGAAGGTCAGGCCCAGAGAGAGCCCAGAACAGTGAGGGCTGGGGTGGAGTTTTCTGGTGTCTAAAATGCGCTGTCCCCGTGGGCCCTGTGAGGGAGAGCAGCGTCTGGGAGGAAGGGGTCCTGGTCTCTGGTCTTAGCTCTGCCACCGGCTGTGGTGTAACCTCAGGTGAGCTCTCCGGGTTTTCATAATCCCGCCTGTGAGATGGGCTAGTAATGCCATCCTGGCTCTCCTTAGAGCCTGTGGTGAGGAGCAGCGTAGGTTTTGGGGTGGAGGGGTCATTTCTCCTGTCCTGAAAGCTCTCAGGAGGTCTGTTCACATCTAATGTCACCGCCCTCAATACCCAGAAGTTTCTGTCCTTCCTCCCACTGTGGCAGCTCTGCGTGAGCCCTCCAGGCCATGCTCCTTCTGACAGGCGACCACGGCTCAGCCCATGGCGAACATTCTTCTCATAGTTCCTGGAGCACAGCAAATCCCGCCGCTTAGCCAGGAATGCAGAGTCCCCTCCTGCAGTGGAGCAGGGGCTTGGGTGGGGGAGCCCCTGGGGGTTAGGCAGGAGGGGCTGAGGGGGTGTGGAGGCCCCCCCCTCCCCCCAGAGACACTGTGCCTCAGCTCCCAGGAGCTGTGAGGCTGTCCTGTCATCTGCAGACTCACAGCTCGGGTCCAAACTCTAGGACTGTCACCACTGGCTAGCTGGGCGAACTTGGGTACGCGACTGCTTCCTGAGCCTTGCTTCCTTCACCTGTAAAACAGGGTTTATAATCTCACCTAATGGGGCTTTTGGGAAGTGTCATGGTAACGATAGTTATAATAATATAATAACAGTGAACATTTATTAACTGTTCCTTTATGTCGAGCACTGCTTGAAGTCAGCTGTTTAAAACTAACTCGTTTAATCCTCAAAGTGCTCCAAGGAGCTGAGGCACAGATGAGTGAGGTCATGTGCTAGTAAGAGGAAGGGCTGGGGGCAGAATGCATGAAGCTGGGCTCTTAACCCATCATATGATTTTTTAAGCAAGGCTCAGCCCAGGGCCTGCTCGTGGTAGAGGCTCAGAATGGGGACTTCTCCCATGAGCCCATCTCTGCGAGAGGCCGACTGTTTGTCTCATGGCCATCAGCACCTTAGTTTGGAAAGTTGGGAGGAAGCGGGCCCGGGGCCCTCGCCAGCATCCCTGGGAGCCCTGTAGCTCTTAAAAGCTGGTGGGGGCTTGGGGGTGCATACTGTCCCATCCACATCAGGCCTGGAATTTAGCTGGTGCCAGGCCCTGTGCAAGGAGGAGATATCGCCAAGCAGGGGCTCAAGGAGGAGATTAGGGGAGGCAGCTAGGGGTGGAGGTTAAGAACAGAGTCCCATTGAAGTGGGCTAAAGCCCTGCCAAGCACACCAACTCACCCTAGCTCCCTATTTTGTAGGACCGAGGGAGCCTTGGTCAACTGGAGTGGGCCTCTGAAGCCCTCAGTGGGAGCTGCCTACTCTCTTCCCAGCCTTGCAAGTCCATGTTGCCTCTTGGTAGGGGTGGAGAAGCAGGGAGAAAGACCTGAAGCTGAGGTCTCCAGGAAGCCCACGTGTACAGGGTTTGGTCATTTAGGGGGGCTGGGCAAGCTCCAAGGTTCAGAGCTAGCCCCGAGCTTCCTAGTCCTGTAATCTTGGAGAATTGATTGGGCCTTCCTATGCCCCTTAGGAAAATAAGACAGCAATTCCTGCCTCACACGGTTACTGGAGAGTGTGATAAAATAATGCCCAGAGCATGCTGAGTGCTGTGTCTGGTGCATAAATGTACTTGGGATTTAAAGGGCTAACATGGGTGGGGGGCGAGGGAAGCCAGCTTTAAGTTGGCCCCCAGGTCTCTCATCTTGATATGCAAGGCATTCCTCAGGCCGACCCAGCCAGCCCTTCTCAGATCACCTGTATAGTGAAGAGGTTAACAGCCCAAGCTTTGGAGTCAACAGACTAAGTTCAAAGTCAGGTTCTATAGCCTATGAGCTGTGTGACCTTGGGCTTTACTGAACCTCTCTGTCCCTTGGTTTCCCATCTGTATAAAGGGAAGAGAAAGTACCTATTTCACTGGACTGACGTAAGGATAATCCATGAGAAGGTCCCAGAACAGTGCCTGGCATGTAGTAGATGCACAATAAATGTTAGTTATGTTTAGTTGGTTCTTTTGTTTGTTTGGTGTTTATTTCCATCTCGAGCTTTCACACCTCCATACCCTCCCACATGCTGTTTCCTTGGTCTGGACTGATGGCTTCTCCCCGTCATCACTCAGTTAAATTCATGTTCATTCTTCAAAACCCAGATACAATATAAGTCATTTCCCCTCCCCAAGCCTCATGGTGGGGTGGGGGCTGGGGCCAGAGAAGCTGGGGTTGAGTTGGCAGTGGGACTTCCTACCCAGTTCCATCAGCCAGCCTGGGCCCTCAGACCCACCTGTGGGGTCACGGTGTTCAGAGTGGTAGGGATAGGGGCCGGCTTAGCTGAGTTGGAGAGGAGACCTAGGAGCCGCTGGCTTTGGCATCTGACTGCTTGTGCAGTGAGACACAGGGCCAGGATGTCAGAGTTTCCATGGGAGCAGGCAGAGGAGAGTAAGCAGCTGAGGGAGAGAGTGACGCGGCCAGTAGGTCTCCCTGCCAGGTGGGCTGGCTGGGTGTCCCCTCTCCATCCACCCAAGAGTCACGCCTGGCTCTGGACTATCGCCCCAGCTCCCCTATGGGCAGCTATGTGACCTGGACTAGGACTTGTGACAGCCTGGAGTCATGGTTAATTGAGGCAGAAATGGGGACCTGACCATTCAGGGTCCTGACTATATCACCTCCCCACTCAACAACCTTCTATGGCTCCCCGTTGCCTTCCAGAGGAATGCAAGCATGGCATTCAAGGCTCCTCACTAGGTTGCCTCTGCTTTCTCAGCTCCTGCTTGTCTTTTCAACCCCACAGCACTTCTGGATCTTCCCTGTATCTGCCAAGCAGCTTCCTATTGCCAGAAATTTCTTTTCTTACTTTGCCTGCCTTTCAGACTCCTACTCACCCTTCAGGATCCAGCTCCAATGTTCCTTCCTACATGATCTTTTGGGGAAACTCAAGGGGGAGGAAATGTTCCCTGCTGTGTTCCCACAGCCCAGAGATCTTATGTAATTGTGTGGTGGCCACTTGTATGATGCCTCCAGGTAAATCAGAGCAAGGCAGGACATGGGGCTGGGCCATTTCTGTGTCCCAAGGCCCAGCCTAGGGCCCCCCACACAGTAGGAGTTTCCCCAGGCAGGAACCCTAGGCTACGTGGGAGCCACCCCAGCCCAGGACCTGATATATAGTAGGGATTTCTTTAGTATGAGAGCTGGCATACAGGGGGCTTCCTCAGCCGGGGCCCTGGGACAGGAGGAACTCCACTAAGCCAGGGCCCGGCACCTTGTGGACATGGCTGAGTGTGCATGAAATGAATGAAGGGAGTCACAGCCTGGCTTCCTGAGACGAGAGCCTAAGGTTGGGGCCAATGTTCCAGCAGGGGCTCTTGGTAAGAAGCCCGTGGCAGGCCCTGGGGTGGCGGTGAGTTAGGGCAAGAGGTTTCCCGGGCTCCTGGCCTCTTCCTCACTGTCTCTCTTTTGTCCTCAGGCCTCGCCTCTGCTGGGACCTTTAGAGGGCCCTCCAACCTGAAAGGTAAGCTAGATTTGGGGGCATCCAGCCAGGAACCTCCCAGGCTGGATGAGGCCATTGCTGGCTGCTGTCTAACCTTGTTCCCTCCTGCTGCAGCGGAAGCCCCTCCCAGCCCCAGGATGTCCAACAGGCAGCCCCTCTTACAGGTGACCTCAGCTCCCTGGGGCCTGGGCTTTAAAATCTCGGCCCAACTCGGAAGCAGCTTTTTCTCATTTGAGCATTTGTGAACTATTTCTCCCTGACTCCTTGGCGAGGGCCTGTGTTTGCTTGGCCTGCCCGGGTGCAGTGGCCTGGCTGTGCTCCTGCCAGGCCCCCTCCCTGCCAGCCCCTCCTGCCGCCACCGCCGCTGCCGCCACCGCGTGGGGAAGCCACGAAGGCCCAGGAATTTTGGCAGGCGTGGGGAGGCAGCGGGCGGCGGGTGGCGCTCCGGAAAAGGCTGCAAATGTGAACCAGAAGGCGAGGGATTGGCAGCAAGGAGGCCCTGCCTGGCCTGGCCTGGGGCCTGGGGGTGGCTGGGTCTGGGGGGACCCTTCAGTGTCCAGTCCCGGTCAGAAACTCAGTGCCTCTGCTGGGAAGTGAGAGTGATGGCACCAGCTGAGACCTGAGCCCTAGGTGGGGAAGGGCCAGTCCCCTGGCCACTTCCTGAGGATACGTTATTGTCCTGGGTCCTGCCCAGTGCTGGGCCTCTTCTGGGTCATCTGCCTCCAACTGGTTATTCCTGCCTCCCCAGTCACTTAGTCACCCCAAGATGCTCCTGCCCAGGAGAGCAGTGGGGTGTCTCGTCTGTCTCAGAGATGGGCAGAGGCTGGGGGCCTAGGTAGTGGACCTAATTGCCTGTGGGGAGGGAGGTTCAGCCCTAGCCCCCTCCAGCCCAGAGCTGAGGACTCTGGAAGAGCCACAAAGGAAAAGGGTTCCTATGAGCAGCCACCCTAGAGGCGTGGTTGGAAGTGGGAGATGGGTGGTCAGAGGTCTGAAGCCAGAGCACCTGGGCTGCAGACTGTATTGAGCACCTACTGTATGCCAAGCCCCAGTCAGGGAAGAGGTGGAGGTATAGGGAGAGGTCCCTAGGAGGAGGAGGTTCTACCTGAGGGAAGCAGGGAAGGCTGCTTGGAGGAGGAGGCATTTGAGCTGGGTCTTAAATGAGGAATAAAATGTTTGCCTGGATGAGAGAGACAGAAAGGGCAATCAAGGCAGAGGAGAACATGCAGGAGAAGGCAGGCAGGCAGGTACAAAGAAACACTGTGAAGTTTGGAGCGTCTGAATATAAGGACTCTGGGGCTCAGGGGTGCAGCAGGCTCCTCTCACCCCTAAATGTGGGTGTTTTCCCCAAGGGCGAGGCCATGGCCCTCATCCAGGTGCAGGAACCCTGTCAGCGAAGCCCTATTTTTATCTCCAGCTTAAGTCTCTCTCCAGTTCCTGACCCATAGGTTCCCTGCCTCCTGTATACCCACCCCAGAAACACCCCCAGCCCCCAGCCCCCAGCTTCTTTGTCCTGTTGTTTGCTCTGCTCTCAGTTTGGAATGTCCCACCATTACCTGTTCCTCAGGGCCTTTTGAACTCTGACCTGTCCTTCATGCCTTCTTCCAATGAGGCTTCCCAAATCAAGGTCCCCTGGGCTCTGGGAGCCTCACCTGCAAAGGTGAAGATGTTGGGACTCATGGTGGAATGGAAGCCCAGTGGGGTAGGTGCTCCTGTCTTGCCACCTGCCTGGATGATGAGGCGGCCCGAGGCAGCCCTGCCCCAGCCTGCCACCCCCTTCCCACCCAGCTCCTGGATTCCAGGCAGCTCTTTGGCTTTGGAGCAGTCCTCACACCTGCACATTTCAAATTTGAGGGGGTCAGAGTCTCCTATTGATCCCATAAGACAGTGAACTCAGCTCATGGACACTGGACCCACAGATCCCCATGCAGACGTCGTGGGGCTGCCCAGGGATTGTCCAGGGAGGTCAGACAGAGACTGAAAGTAGCATAGCATCAGGATGTAAATGCTGGTCTTTCTGAGGGTCCCATCAGCTAGAGGTTTATAGAGCCTGCAACTCAGACAGGGATCTAGGTCCAAGGGTGTAGGAAAGGACAGGGAAAGACAAGCAGGGTCACAGAGGTGGGCAGACAAATGGAATGGTACACAGAGAGGACAGACACACCATGAGATGCCTGAGATCACAGGCAGGTAAGGATCTGGATTTAGTGACACAGACAGGAAGGAAGGGACACAGATGGGCGTGGCACCTACCCACATACACAAAACTCTTAGACAGTGGGTACCCCCGCCCCTGTCGTGATCTCAGGGCTTTGTGGGGCTCACCATCAGTCTCTCTCTACCCTTTTTACCTGCCTCCCATCTTAATTGATTCACATCCTATTGAGTTTAAAGTATGCCTCCTCCTCCAGGAAGCCACATGAGAATAACATGGAATTTATTTTGTTGGTACCAGGCAGCATCAGCTGTGCAGTTGGCTCCTGTGCAAGGACACCCAGGAAAGGCAGTGAGCAGGGCCCGAGTTGGCTGGAAGGAGAGTGGCCTTTTCTAATCGTGCGGAGGCATCAGATAGGCTAGAGGGATTCCTTACTGCCCTGTAAGTAGGAAGGGTCAGAAGTGATCCCCAGATTTCTGGCCTGGGCCCCTGGGAGCAGGGGAGAAGCACGTAATGGGGAGAAGGTAATGACAACAGTTTGGGTGGAGGCCTCTGAGGGCCAGCGGGGCGAACGTGCCCAGCTCATTGAGCACAAGAGTCTGGGTTCGGGAGCCGTAGCTGAGACAGATGAGGGAGTCCTTGGTGATGGGATTGGTGAGAGCTGGAAAGTGCAGGAGGAACATCCAGATAGAGGAGAGGAGACCCAAGCCAACGCCTGGTTCTGCGGCGGGCAGAGAGGAATCCAAGGAGGAACCTTTCCAGGAAGGGAGCAAATTTGGTGCTGGAGAGAGGAAGGTCAGAAAGGTCAGAGGGTGGGGAGTGAGCTGTGAGTGGGGGGTGAGGGGTACAGGCAGCTTTGTTGTTGTTAACCCTCACCAGAGGATATTTTTTTTCATTGATTTTTTTTTTAGAGAGAGTGAGGGAGGAAGGGGTGGGGAGAGAAACATCAAGGTGCCCCCTACCGGGCCTGGGACGAACCTGCAACGAACCTGCAACTCAGGTACATGCCCTTGACCGGGAATCAAACTTGAGACCCTTCAGTCCACGGGCCGACGCTCTAACCACTGAGCAAAACCAGCCAGAGCGGTAAAGACAGTTCTTTCAAGAAGCTTGGCTGAGAAAGGCTAGAGAGAGATGAGGGTGGCTGGGGGTTGGGGGTTGGGGTCAGAGTTCGGCTTGTGTGGACGTGGGATGGAGAGGCTGGAGACTGGGTAAGTGTGGGAGGCATCCACAGAGAGTGAGAGGCCCCTGAGGAAGAGGTGTGGAGGTGCCTGTGCCTTGAGTGGGAGATGGGATTCCCTTCATCTGAGACGCAGGAAAGGAGGGTAGGAAAAGGCTCTCCAATTTCTACAAGCTGGGAGAGAGGTGGGGAAATTAGGGGCTCAGGGACCCTGGAGAAGTCTGGAGCTGCCCGGTTGGGCAGTTGGGGGAGGGGATCATGCCCATTGGGTAAGGACGGCAATATCTCTGTTCTTCTCCAAGGTCCTTAACTCCATTCTAGTCCTGACCAGGCTAAGTGACCCAGGTCAGTTTCATCTCAGGAGTAGTTTGAGAAAAGGCCTAGAAGGCCAGAAAATTGACTTTAGGGAACTTTCACAAGGTCCTGGCCTTTGGCAGCGAGTCACCTGAGTTTTGTGAGGGTTGGAGGAGATGTTGCTTTACAGTAGGAGGAACTGAGGTAGACTGAAGATAGAACTAACTTCCTGGCCATCAGGGTAGCAGGACAGGGCAGCACACCTGGGGGTGCTGACGATTCAGATCATCTCAGTTACTCCTTTCACAGATGAGGTTAATTCACTAGCCCAAGCTCGCCCTGCTGGTGAGTAGCTGTGCTGGAATGGGAGTCCAGGGGCTGCCGGGACCTATGAGGACCCCAGGGGCCCCCAGGCTGGACCCCTGAAAGGGAGAGACTGAGCAAGAAATGCTCAGCTCACCTGTGGAGGTGGCAGAGACAGTGCTGGAGAGAGAGACAGAGAGAGAAATGAGTCAGGGCCAGAGACACAGGGAAAGAGCAGAGAGGGCGGCTGGGAGAGTGGGGAGACAGGAGGCACCAGGGGAGCAAGCGAGGCAGCGGATCCCGCAGAAATGTCTCCACAACAGGAAGCGTCTCATAACATACCTGTGGTTTGGCCAGGCCCTGGGGCTGCCTGAGCACTCCCACTGCTCCCTCAGCTGCAGCCGCCTGCCCGTCTGGGGTACCGGGCTTGGAGCTGAAGGACCTGCGCAGGACTGTGGTCCATCCACTCACCCAGGAGGGGGGCTGCCAGGGCCACACCAGCCACATGCCTGCACTGCCCACTGGGAGCCCCCTCCCTCCGGCCCCCTTTATTATCTGGACCTCTGATAGCTGCTCTGTGAAAAGGGGTGGGGAGTGTGCAGGCCTTGAAATTCCATAGGGTCACCCGGGCCCCCTCTGCTGGTCACCCCTGGGACAGGACGCTTTGAGAGAGGAGACTGGAGGGGAGGGGTCGCAGTTAGCTGATGCCCCTTCCCCTCCTGCAACTGTGTGGGGGGGTGCTCTGCATTCGTGCCAGTTCTGCTGGGGCCCATTCCTCCCCACCCCTTGGTCTGAAAGACCCCAGAGCACTACCCGCTCCCAGCCAGCCTCCTTGGCCGCCCCGGGAGGAGGCCCAGGCTGCCACAAAACGCTGACTTGGACAAAATGCTGTTTTATGGGGATTTGTTGAAAAGGGGGGAAATCCCCGTTAAGGACTTGCAGCTGTCCAAACACCGTGTCCACCCTGCTGCCGCCACCGCTCAATCCCCTGAATCAGCGTCTCCTTGTGCACCCCACCTCGTGCGCCTGCCGGCCCAGCCCCTCCCCAACTGCCCTGGCTCCTACCTTCCTTCCTAGGAGGTTACCAGAGAAGGTGTCAGCTTGCCCAAGGCCACACAGCAGACCCGGGCTTGAGCCTCAAGGCCGTCCCCGATTCCTCCCGGGAAGAACGGGGAGCCAGGGAATGAACCTTGCTTCCTTTGCACCTCCGTTCCTGGGCAGGCTTCCATTGAGGCCAGGAGAATATCCCCACCTTTTCCCCTCTGGCCTGGGGTGAGGGAAAAGGGTGGGTGTGACATGTATCTGCTCGAAGTCTGAGTTATTGGTGTGATCTTTAAATTTGACGCTGCATTGAGCTCATCAAACATTTATTGAGCATCGCTGTTTGCCAGCCAAGCCTGTTTGCTGGGCACGGAGTCCGGAGTATGTGGCTGGTAGAGAGAGTAGAGGAGCCAAAGAGAGAAATAGGAGCTGAGATGGGGACCCACAGGCATCAGTGGAGTCCAGGAGGCATCCAGTAGGTCTCCCAATATCCAGGAATAAGTAAGAGGTAGGCGGCGGGTGGAGACGCAGTGGAGGGGACTGACCCGGCAGAGGAGCCTGGGGGTGGGGT